CCGAAGGGAGAGAGGGAGGGAAAAAGTCACAGTGACAGCCCACTCTCACCTTCCTGTCCTCCTGTCTCTGGCAGGCACAGGACAGTGGTGAAACTCCAGTCCTGTCCGCTTCTCCTGCTTTTTCCTTCAGGAATGGCATCAGGCTGTCTGCCCCTGTCCTGCGTCTTTGACTCTGGTTCTCCCACCATAGGAGTTCAGATCTGAGTAACTCCTTCATGGCTGTATTGTGAAAGATGGTGTTCAAGCTCACTTCCGTGCCTGGCTGAACAGTCTGCAGCCCCTGTATTCCCAAAGGGGGTCTCAGTTTATGTCCTTCTTCCTCTCTTATCCCAGCTGAATCTGTCAGTAGTTCTGCCCAGCCAGGCTTATGTCTGCAAACCTTTCCTTCTCTTTGACCTTTACATTTTTTCTACGCTTACCTTTATATTACGCAGGCAATCAAATTTTCAGCACCATCCCAGGAATATGAAAAAAACAGTTTAGTATTCATTATCATTAGGAAAGTTTTCCTTGCTCTTAAAACTCTGGGGTTTTTTTTCCCATTTTCACATTTATCCTGGCTCTTTTAGAGCCTCCTAGGCAGTGGGAGTAATTCCTCTGATGTTACCCTGAGACACAAAAATGTAACAGCCATATGCATATATGGTCATATATCTGTGACTGTATACACAGATTGAGCAATTTCATATTCAAAGTTTGCTTAGAAATTGTAATTGCATTTGTCCTTCTGTGCACAAACTTCTTTACAATTTATCCCTAAACCTGTTTTGGTTCCTGACTGCTGAATTCCCTTCAGACTGTAAAAAGCCTTTGGGCAACTGCGTTATCAGTGCTACATTCATTTTTTCCCCAGTGCTGTTTTAACAGTGCCATGAAACTTCTCAATGAGGCAGCTGAGCTTGGCCATATTCCAGTGGATGCCTTTGAGCACATGGGCTTAATTTTCTTCCACATAGTAAACCATTCAAATCTGTATTTTCTTTTTTTAAGGCATTTTGAATAGTTCTATATTCTATTAGAAAAACAAATTACAGTAGTAAATCTCTTTCAACTAGTATGGAATAAGGAGAAAAATTCATCAATGTCTTTGTCTCAAAATCCAGTGAAATATATCTGTTACTCTTCACTCCCACATCTCTACTTGTATTTATATGTTACGCTACCCAGTATGTGCACACCAGTTTGTGTAATACTTGAATAAAAGCCATTAAATTTTTTGAAGTATATAAACTCAATTCTAGCTTCACATGGCGTATCAATGAACTGCCGTTATGCTGGCAGTGTTCTAGCTCTGTTTCAGTTTTTGCAAAGTTCAAAGATATATTCCTAAACTTGGGTATTTTTTATAAGACCCCTGATGCTGATAGCCTCCTCATGGCCTCTCCCCCTCCCTGCTCTCATAAAGTTGCACTGCTTCACCATAGTGCTCAGGGCGACCCGCAAGGCTGGGAACAGGCTTTGCTATACTCCACATAGAGAGGTTTGTGGATTGGTCACAATCCAAGCCTTACGTTACAGTGCATTTGTACTTGGGAAAAGTCCGCTGACTTTAGTGAAGCTGATGAAGCTCGTGGAAAAGTGTTTGTTCAAAAATTGGGTTTCATGAATTAACATGCCACGAAAAGTATCATTGTGATGCTGAGCAGGACCGCGATGTTCAGTGTGTAAATACTTCTTAGCACCTTGTGACTCTCAACTAGAAAAACAGCAGGGCAAACTCCGTATCTAATGTGAGCATAACACTAACCTGTGGTTTTAATAGGCTAGACATTAACAGTGTGTTAAAAGCAAACATCTGCCAGTTTCCAGAGTGATGGTGCCTGCAGGTGCTGTACACTGTCCACCCTTGCAGACAGCAGATATCACAGGGTCTGCAGGAAGGGGTGGAAATCTCCTCACCTGATGTCATTCAGCACCCACTCCAAACCAGCAACCCTCACGCTGGATGAATCCTTCCCTGGAGGTGTCTGTTTCCCCCAGAATGCAGAGGGAGCCTACTTGACGACTTAAGCCTGATCATACCAGCTGCAAATGAACCCAGTCTTAATTCAGCAAAACACCGAAGCACGGGCACAAAGCACTTGTTGCTCATCTAAGAGCATGGGTATGTGTTTCATTTGAATACGTTTACATTTCAGAACATGCTTAACTCAGAGGCTACGATGGTTTGCTGTACTAGGGCCTTAAAACTTGATTTTAGTTCTAGACAGTGTGGTCAAATGGCTGCTCAATACACATTGTTGGTATACTGCAGCCATGCCCCACGAGGGAAAGCTGTATACCCACTGCATTGAAAAACTCAATGTAATATGAAAAATGCCATTTACCTGAAGAAGTGTTTTCAAATTGTCCATGTATCAGCAGTGAATCATGGCTCAAGAGCAATCTGAACTTCGTAAAAATGTCTGGATATTGAACAAGTCAATGGGCATCATGAAAACTTGAAGCATTTCAGCCAAAATGGTGAGATACAGGCATATGAAAAAAGGAGTTTGGAGTGGAAATGCTTATGCAACCTTAAGCATAGCAGTCAGGACTCAATTAAAACTACCCCCTGAGCAATTCTTAAAACACAGTTTTTTTTTTTTTAAGTTGAATGTGCATGTTGCAGTTCTATTCTTCTTCTTCTCTCTTTCATAAAGCTGGGTTAGAATTGATTTTCATTTCTCGAAGTGTTCATTATGCACAGAGCACTTCAGCATGCAGTGAAATCCCACTGACATCAGAGCCTTCAAGTGAAGCA